CCAGGGTTTGCTGCCCTAAAACACTCTGTTCAGGCCACCTTGAAAATGAAGGTCTGCGGAGCGAGAGCAAAGGAGTTTCCACCTCCTCGCTTCCCAGTCTTCCCAGGGTTCATATAGGGAGCCAGGCCATTTTCAGAATCTTCTGGAGTTGAGCTGTTCGAGTTCCTATTGAAGGGTATATGTCACATTCAAGCAGCAGAAGGACAACATGCATCCTCTGCTCTCGCTTCGCAGACCGTCATTTTGAAGGTGGCCTGAACAGAGTGTTTTAGGGCAGCAAACCCTGGTCTCAGGCCACCTTGAATTTAGCTTGAAAAACTGTTTGTTTGAACAAAAGGGTGCATTGTTTTTGTTTTGACATGGTTACCTATGTGTGGGCAGAACAAGACATGAAGCAGATTTGACACGCGGCCGCAAGCGGCTGCGCGAGCTCATTTGATTGCTTCGACGCGCAGTTGTCGAGAAAGAGAAGCGCTGGCTTTCGTTTTGCAGCTTCTCAGGTTTTTAATACTTTTAAACTATATTTTTTGATTAAGAGTCTACATCATGTGTATATGGTTTCTTATGCCTTGGGGTGTGCTTTTGTGGGGGCTGTTGGGTGTGACCCCGTGCCCGGTGCTGGACCTTTTTTTTGCCGCAAAACCCGCGAGGTCAAGTTCCGGGATGCAATTGAAATAGATCATTCAAACGATTCAATGACACTCACATGTTCTTTTTCTTTGGCCCTTCATAGGCCCCACAACCTTTGGCCACGTCTTTCTGAGGCCACAATTGACCACGATGGACGCGCCAAAGAGGAGTATTTTGCTCCAGTTTCTTGGGCACCGTTTGGTCGGGCGGCGGCGCAGAGGTCTCACGGGCCTGTACGGGTGTCTCGGGTTGTGTCCCGCAGTGAAGAAACACGACACATCTACCTAGGACAGAGCGTATGGTTCTTGTGCTGTTTGATGTACCCAATTGGACACCAGGGTTTTCGGATAGAACATGATAGAAACGTTCCTTCAAGCAACTGCCCAGTGGAGGGAGGAATCCTTCAACTCATGTTCCGAAGAAAAAGGCAGGTTCCTTCCTTCACCCCACAGCCTGGAGAATCAGTGCCATTGGTACCTGACCTGACCTCTCCCGGTCCTGCTCTCTTTGTGATTGGATGGTCCAGGGGGTTCACTTATATAGCTGGCAACCCGTTGCTTCCAAAGAGGAAACCATGCGCCCCACACACACAGCAAAGACCTGGTTTTCCGAAAAACAAACTGATTTATATACAGTTACAGTAATGTGTATGACTTACAGGATGTGATAGGATACGTTTGTTTGGAGGGCTACTGCCCCCCCTAAAAGACAAAACACCCGTACTATATTATATCATTCTTCGGAACATTTCGGAACTCTTGGCCAGTCTCTATATACACCACGACTTGGGATTTGAGCCAAGAACAAACTGTTTGCCACACTTGGCTGGTTGTATAGGGATTAAAAGGCATGCAACAACAACAAACACAAAAAATTGGACGATTGACGATTGTAAGGATTTTTCTTCAACCAGATGTTCTGTGTGTTTGTGTTTCTTGTTTCCTAGGCGGCCGGTCAGGACACATATGTTCGAATTCACATCGCCTTTAGGTGACCAAAGAGAACGTCACAAAACTGGCGCCTTGGTGGCAAGCAGTGCGGTCCGTGTCGGGCCCTGCCGGTCATCCGGTCCGTGTCGGGCCCTTCCATGGTGCTTAAAACGAAGCAAGGCGAGACTCCAAGCAAGCAAGAAGGACCTTTATAGGCTGTTTGGTCCCAAGCAGGCCGCAAGGGTCTGGCCCAACCGAAAAGGCATGAGATGGCATGTGTCGGAGCTGGATAGCATGACATGGTGCCAATGCTTTTCAATGTCAGGATCCATTTGGGATCCGACTCTCACACGACCAGTCACACCTTTTAGTTGGACCTGTTCAGCCACCGCACCTCACTGGCACAGCACTGGGAGTCCCGCGGTGGGGCACGGTGACCTGAGAAGATCCATTGACCTGGGTTCTTCATTTCGTGACCTTTTCATCCCCGGTCCGTGGTCACAAACAGACCGTCTTGACAAACAGAGGCTCAACCAGGTCACTATTCAAAGAGCCTGGTGGATGAGTCCTTTTGTATATAGGGGATATGCATGGATATGCTATGCTGTTGTTGTTTTTTTCTCTCGGGTTCCTGGCACAGCAAATCCAAGTACTTGTCATATTTCTCATAGTGTCCACATGGCGTGGCTTTTTCGACCGCCTTTTCGCGCTCGAGCGTGGCTTTTTCAGGTGCAGCAATCCAAAGATGTCGATGCCATCGTG